CTTCCTTCCTTCCTTCCTTCCTTCCTTCCTTCCTTCCTTCCTTCCTTTCTCCCTTTCTCTCTCTCTCTCTCTTTTTCTCTCTTTCATAGTCTTGCTCTGTTGCACAGGCTGAAGTGCAGTGGTGTGATCAGGGCTCACTGCACTCTCCACCTCCCAGGCTCAGGTGATCCAACCCCCTCAGCACCCCCTGGGGACTACAGGTACTAGCCACCACACCTGTTTTTGTTTGTTTCTTTCTTTAATTTTTAGTAGAGATGCTGTCTCACTCTGTTGCCCAGGCCGGTCTTGAACTCCTGAGCTCAAGTGATCCTCCTACTTCAGCCTCCCAAAGTACTGGGATTATAGACATCAGCTCCCACAACTGGCCTAAATATTCTTTTTTTAGGATAAAAAATTTGGAAAACAGTGTTACGAAACATAACTAAAGTATAGCAAGAAGACTGTTAAAGAGAAATTTTTATGAGAAACAAGTATTTGAGTTTAGGTTAGGAACTCAGCATGAGTCCTATATCTGTGAGCCCCAAGAGGGGAGAAGAGGGATCCATAGGCACAGTTTCCTTCGGTTCAAAAGAGGATACATTGTAGTGAGCATGCCCTCTGATGTTTTGTGATGTGAGCAGATCTCCATGCTGTGTAAGCCACAGTTTATGAAGCTTAGTATTTATTATATCAGAGTTACTGTTTTAATCAAATACAACTTGAGAAAAATTTAGTTTTAATACTTTTAAGTTTTATTAACACATTATATACAGAAATATCATACTACATAATAATTAGACATAAATATTAACTCTATAAAATTTTTAAATTCATTTTGTCATTTCTTCAACATCTAAAACCGAGGCCAATTTTTGTGATGTCCCTAATGCCAAGTACCATTTAACTGTCATCCTTTTTTCCTTAACTTTCTCATCATATAGGTGCTTCTGGTTCAGGTTTTGCCCCTCAGTGTTTGGGCCCATGACCCTGGGCTGGGGTTTTCCTCTAAGTATTTTATCCCAACATCCCTCGTCTCTCCATCCACTCATATTGGAAGATTTGAGCAGTTGCTTTCTGTCCTTGCCCCTGCTCATTGTATCTCAGGTGGTGAAGTCTTGAAGTGGCAGGAACTCGGGCATGAAATTAAACTGCAGACTTTAACAGAAGGGCAACAGTTACATGACAAAGTTGTAGGTGAGGAAGAGAGCAACTAAGGAGGCAGAAAGGAAAGTAAAGAGGGAAGGAAGGAGTGGGTCTGGTGAGAATAGGCTGGGGCTTCCTGGAGACCTTAGATTCTGCTCTAAATTACATTTAAGTGCTAGTGACAGCCCAGCACCAGGAGACCAAAGCAAGCAAGAGGAAATATGCCATGATAAGAAATAGATATATTTGGTTTCTGCTCCTATTTCCTGGCCGAGGCTCCTAAAATGCTTGGACTCTCCTAAGTGACAAGTGCCTTTTTGTATGCTAATGAGATGACTAGGGGGTCCTGGAAAGCTTCAGGATGCCAGCTGGAACCAACCTAGTGATTAGAGATTTGGAACTTTCAACCTCATCCCCTCATATCTCAGAAGGGGAGAGGATAGGAGCTGAAGGTTGACTTGATCACTGATGGCCAGAGATTTATCAATCATGCCTGTGTAGTGAAGCCTCCATACAAACCGCGAAGGACAGGGTTTGGAGGATTTCCAGGTTGCTGAACACAGGGAGGTACAGGGAGGCCGGCACACTAGAGAGGGTATGGAAGCTCTGTGCCCTTCACACATGTCCTGTCCTGGGCATCTCTTCCATCTGGCTGTTCATCTGTATCTTTTGAAATATCCTTTATAATAGACCAGTAAATACAAGTAAATGTCTCCCTGGTCAACTGGTAAACATAGGTCAATTTTTCCCTGAGTTCTGTGAGCCATTCTAGCAAATGATCAAACCTGAGGAGGGAGTTATGGGAACCTCATATCTGCTCCGTCAGAAGCACAGGTGCCAATGTGGAGTTTATGATTGGCATCTGAAGTTGGGAGAAGTCTTGGGGGACTGAGCCCTTAATTTGCAGGATCCAAACTAACTCTGGTTTAATGTCAGAATTGAGTTAAATTGTAGCACACCTAATTGGTGTTAGAGAATTGATCAATGTGGAGAAAACTCCACACACATTTTGGTGACTGAAAGTGTCCTGTGTTGAGAGCATAGTAAGAGAAAACCGTTTGTTTTCCTATTATACAAGAGACCTCTTTGGAACTGTAGTGGATGATGTCGTATGTCACCCAGATCTCCTTCATGGCTTAAACCCCATTCCCTCTGGATGCCAGGAATGCTATTGGCTGGCAGCCCCAAGCTGGCAGCCCTTTTTGGAAGTGCCTTGCCTGTGGTCACACTCCATTTTGTAGCACCTTGTATTCAATGACCTGTCAATTATAAAGACCATCACCTCACCCCAGGAAAGGACATCTCTAAAGGTTCATCTCAGCTTCAGAGTTCACTATAGGGTCAGCTGAGGCTTTCTTTGAGACTATGTCACAGCCCAATCTCTCCATGATTTCTTCCTTTCCCTGCCACAGGTAGTGATGCTGTGGCAGGCCAGGCCTCTGTTACATCTGTCCCAGCACTGGCTGAGTAGCTAGGTTAAACATTAAAAGCTGATTGAGCCAGTGCCCTTATATAAAGAGTGAAATGTAACAAAGAGCCCACCAAGAGTTTTGCCTAGGCTTTTCCTGTGCCTTGAAGCATGACAAGGTAATGAAGGAATTCTTATCAGGACTCTTTTAGAATTAAACAAGTTTTATTGGGAGTCTGAAGAAACTCCCCAGGCCTCCACAAACAAGTTTACTGGGGTCTAAAGAAACTCCCCAAACCTGTATAATTTAGCAGGAGACAAGATAAGGGTAGTCACCCCAGTACTTAGACCCATTTAGATTAAGTATACTTTCTGAAGCTCCAGAAGAAGGTCTTCAGGACTCAGACCTTAGTTATAGATTAAAAGAAGTCAAATACTTACGTCTTTGGATGAATGCAAACTTACACGTAGACATATAGCTTAGAAGGCATATGAGCTCTGGAAAACTTTGTAATTTTGAGTTGGTCTGGCAATAATTTCCAGGCCTTCTCCCTGTAACCAGTTACAGAAATAAAAACTCTTTTCCTCCTTAGTTCATCTGCATCTCATTATTGGGCCACAAGAAATAGCATCCCTACCCTCAGTTTGGTCTGGGAACAAAATTTGGTGTGCCAGCCAAGAGAGACCAGGATGGTGCTGTGTTTACTGGCCAGTGGCTTGTGACGAGTGTTCAGGGGCATCCCAGCAGTTGCCTGTGAGATTTTCCCGGGGACCCTCTTGAAGGCTGTTCCATGTGCAAAAGTGTATGTTCCTTTTACTACTGGGCAAAAATGGAGATGAGGAGTGGAGTCACTCAAAGGGTGAGTTAACTGGGTATTATGCCGGGAGCCTATTGTTTTCCTATCTGGTCTTGTTAAGCCATCTGTCTGGTGCCGCTAAGGAAAGCAATAGGGCTTGCTCATACACCTGCTTTGCATTTTGGTTGAGATCGGGTTTTGAGCTGGTTTTGAGTCTGTTTTGCCTGGATGCACTCCCCCTTGTGTTATTCAAAATTTGTCTCCACTTACTTGTGTATCTGTCTTATTCTCTTTGATATCATGTAAACTTGAAAATGGGAGGTAATTGGGTCCATTCCTGTTGAGAGGCTTCTGGGAAGGAAAAATATTTTTTAGAAGCTTAATGATTGAGAGTCAGTTTAATGAAAAGCTAACATCCAAGATGTGCATATGTATGTGTGCAGGTGTGTATGTTTGTGTTTAAAAGTCCTTCATGTTTTTGTTTTTTGTTTATCTCCTAGGACCTTGTCTTTTTGAGCAAAAGGTTTGTTTTTTCTTCTCAGTTGACTGAATTCTGTTTTCTTCATTAATAGCTATTACAACATAAGCTACTCTTGGGTTTTTAAGAAAAAGTGTAATTTAGACACTTAGAAATGTCTTTGTTTGGAAAAATAATTTTTTTTAAGTGCACTGTAAAAGCACCACATGGTCTAGCCTCATAATAATTTTGAAAACCCAGGATTCAGTGTGGGCTCTGCCCAGTGCTCAAAGATCCAGTTACAAGATAGAGAGAAGGAGGTCTTGTGAAAATATAAAATGTGCTTCTATTGGCATGCCTAATATGTCTATGTATTTATGTCTTGTGTACACCATATTTCACTACTGAAAATATATAAAAGAGTTCTAATTAATTGGCTCAAAGAAAAATAAAAGCACTTAAATACTTCAACAGAAAAAAGGAAAGACTAGTCAAATGCTTTCTCAAGTTTATGTGACTTTAGTAAAATCGTTAATAAATAAGCTAGCTTTAAAAATCACTGGTGACATAAAGGCTGGGTGCAATGGCGCATGCCTGTAATCCCAGCACTTTGGGAGGCTGAGGCTGGCAAGTCACCTGAGGCCAGGAGTTCAAGGGCAGTCTGGCCAACTTGGTGAAACCCTGTCTCTACTAAATATATATAAAATAGCTGGGCATGGTGGCCGATGCCTGTAATCCCAGCTACACAGGAGGTTAAGGCAGGAGAACTGCTTGAACCCGGGAGGCAGAGGTTGTAGGGAGCTGAGATGACACCACTTGTACTTCAGCCTGGGTGACAGAGTGAGACTCTATCTCAAAAAAAAAAAAAAAAAAAAAATTGGTGAAGTAATATTAGAAATGTCTTAAGAGTTTCCAGCATACATTTTTGTTAGCATTTATTGATCAAGCATCTTTATACTTATCTCTGCCAAATACTATTCAGATGTCAAAATTTGTCATAGAGGCTAAAACTATAATTCAGCCCAAAACAGAATGATCTTTGCTTGTGTATTTTTTAATAAATAAAACATTAGTGTTGGTTTAATGAAGACAGCTACACCTTGAAGTATTTAGTAAAATACCCTAACTTCTAATCTTGTGGCTTTAGGCAGTCTAGTCCACAGACAGAAAGAAAGTTCATTCTGGGAAAGGACTGTTACCATCTTTGTTTCAAAACTAAACTATAACCTTAGTTAATGAATAAGAATAACTTGGATGTAAGAAGCAAGATGGAGTCAGATCATTTTCACTGTGTCAGTTATAATTTTGCAATGGTGATTTCATAACTTTAAATGATGACTATCACAGCTTTCGTAAATAATCTAGGTAAATGATTAAAATAAATGATTATATAAATATAATGGGACAAATACTTGTAAAACAAACTTGTCATAATTTAGAATTTAAGGTTACATTAAATTAAACAACAGATATTTCATTATTTAGCTATTTCCCAATAAAAATATATTTTAGGAAAATGTTCTTTCTAAATATTGTGTTCTTTTAAAAATAATTTTTGTCTAATTCAAAGCTTATTTAAAGGTTGCATGTAAAACAAGGTAAAAGAAACCAGGAAATAAGAGAGATATAAAGTAAGTTATAAAAATAAAGAGAGTTTTAAAGACTATTGGTAAAATACAAATATTTTTAAAATTGTAAGCATTTGGTCTAAACTATGCAGCTTAGATATTAGGTTTGCAAAATGCTTTAGGTCATAAACTGCTTTTTTTACTTAAAAATTGTTCAATTTATTTTGGAGTGTTAAATTCTAGATAAGGCCTGGGGACATATGAAATTAGCCATGCCCCTAGCTATGCAAAAAGATATTAAAGAAAAGATGTTTTATATAATGAAGGATCTTGTATGGTAAATTCCTGTCCTAAAGTAAAATAACTGGTTGTTTTAAAAGAGGGATGTTTAGGACAAATCAGAAAGTCAAGGCATGTTGTAGCTTGTCTGTGTAGTCATTAAAGAATTTATGAAACAGAGTTTATGCAAGAAATGTTGTACAATTTAAAGGTGATTAGGCCTCCTAAATGCTTTATAAAATGCCGCTATGATTCTTAGCTGTACAGTTTGCCTGCTTTGCAGCTAGATAAGGCCTGAGACACTTGGAGCTAGACTATGGAGTAAGTCAGATCTTATCTGCACTTCTGTCTAGGTCCTAGGCTCCACACCTAGTACATAATTAAAATCCCACACTTACCAAGGTTTTCACTAAAAGGAAAGGTTGCTAAAAGTTAATGGTGTAACATGTATTTAGGACTATTGAAGTAACAGTTTACATGCAAGGTGTATAAGAACAGCAAAATATACTTTTGGTAAAAAGATTATAAGGAGGCATGAGAATGTGAATTTTTGCTTAGATTAAAAGGTTAAAGGACTGTGGTAAGTTAGATAAAATAAAGAGGAAGGTATAAGCAAGTTTCGAAGGCTGATTATTAAGAAAATTTTGGGTGTAAACATATTGGCTAAAGTTAAAGGGGTATCATCGAGTTTTTCTGTAAATTGAACATTAAAATAAAAGCACAGTGGGTTTTTCTTAGAGCACTAACCTGCTCTTTAACAAATATGGTAAAGGGTTATAAAAGGCCTATAAAAAATCTTATCTTGTTGTCAAACATTAAAATTGGGTAAATATGTCTATAAGGATTTGTTAAGAATTGGGTTTAACATTAATAGTACACTAATGTAAAGGTGAAATTTGACTTATTTAGTATAAAAAGTATACAGAAAGCATTGTCAAATATCAAATGGTTTTTGGCTTTCTTTGGGCTACATTTGTATAAATAGGTTATTGGTATGTGTTCCAAAGTTATGGGAGACTCCTATAATTCTGATATATCTTAGTGTACATTATTAGTAATAATTATAATTGTTATGTTAATTATTTTGTGCCACAGAGGTAACAGATATCCTTGTCAATTGTGTCTTTATGGCTACCCTAAAACTTTTTGTCATCCATAAACAACTGTTGTCTTGTTTAGGTCCTCTTTAGAAGGTGGTTTTATAATCAGCCATAAAGCTCTAACAGGTGCTTTTTAATGCAGATTTCTGATAACTTTGGAGATCGCGATATCAGAATAGAGGAAAAATGTTGCATACTATTCTAAGCAACCGAAATGGAGAGGGCAACTGGGAACAAATTGACCTCTTCCACTCCAATGCTGATTCAGTGCCCCATAATGACGACCCTCTCTCAGCAGCAAGTAGCCAGAAAGATTATGATGCCCCATATCCCTATGATTCTTGTGATAAATAAATATACAAGCATGATAGAGATCATGCACAAATTGACAGTGGGGATTGTGGCAGGCTAGGTCTAGCAAATGCAGGCCTTTGTTACATCTGTCCCAGCACTGGCTGAGTAGCTAGGTTAAACATTAAAAGCTGATTGAGCCAGTGCCCTTATACAAAGGCTGAAATGTAACAAAGAGCCCACCAAGAGTTTTGCCTAGGCTTTTCCTGGGCCTCAAAGCATGACAAGATAACGAAGGAATTCTTATCAGGACCCTTTTAGGATTAAACAAGTTTTATTGGGGGTCTGAAGAAACTACCCGGGCCTCCACAAACATGTTTATTGGGGTCTAAAGGAACTCTCCAAACCTCCATAATTTAGCAGGAGACAAGATAAGGGTAGTCACCCCAGTACTTAGACCCATTTAGATTGAGTACACTTTCTCCTTCAGGACTCAGACCTTAGTTATATAAAAGAAGTTAATCACTTATATCTTTAGATGAATGCATTCAGTTACACATAGACATATAGCTTAGAAGGTGTATAAGCTCTGGAAAACTTTGTAATTTTGAGTTGGTCTGGCGATAATTTCCAGGGCTTCTCCCTGTAACCGGTTACAGAAATAAAAACTCTCTTCCTCCCCAGTTCATCTGCATCTCATTATTGGTCCACGAGAAATAGCAGCCCGACCCTCAGTTTGGTCTGGGAACAATACCAAGAGCACACCCAACTCCCCTCTATACAGCAGTCCCCCTTATCTGCGTGGAATACATTCCAAGACTCTCAGTGGATGCCCGAAGCTGCAGATAGTACCAGACCCTATATATATGCTGCTTCTTTCTTTACATACATACCTCTGATAAATTTTTTACAAATAGATGAGGTGCAGTTAACGGATTAACAATAATAACTAATAATAAAATAGAACAAGTATAATAACATAATACAGTAAAATCATATGCATGTGGTCTCTCTCGCTCTCTCTTTCAAAATAGCCCATTGTTCTATATTTCTGTTCATTAGCAGACACAGCCTCTCTAGTAATTTATATATTTTTCGGTCCAAACCTATTCCTGAATCTGTGTAAGTATCCCGTACTTGCAATAAATGGCTTAGTGTCACTGATTTCAGGGGATCCGTTGCTGGAGGGATCAATGCTTGTCTTCATATAGGCTCAATGCTTTCTGGTGCAACACGTTGCCAATACTAAACACATTTCTGTTAATGTCTCCTGCCCACAAACTGAATGCCTTTTTCATCTTAACTAAGCACTTATCACACTCTGTAACCATGACGTTTATAGTTTGAGGTGCAATAGCAAAACCAGCACAAATGTATTTTTCTTTCTTTACAATTTCATGGGTAAAAGATTTGTTCTTATAAATTTTGTTAGTTTCAGCATACAATTTTTGTTCTTTCCTTGTTAAGTCAAGAACTTTCACCTTTTAAGTGAAGCCCTCTGTAGCTTCTCTTTGGCATATCGGAATTGCCAGCATCATTACTCTTGCACATTGGGACCATTATTAAGTAAAATAAGGATTACTCAAACACAAGCACTATGATACTGTGACGATCTGATAGTCAAGATGGCTACAAAGTGACTAACAGATGGGGAACGTGTACAGTGTGGGTACATGGGACAAAGGGATGATTCACATCCTGGGTGGGACAGAGCAGGACAGCTTGAGAGTGTACAGTGTACTCAGAACATCACACACTTTAAAACTTATGATTTTTTTTCTGGACTTTTCTATTTCATATTTTTGGACTACAGTTTACCATAGATAACTAAAACTGCAGAAAATAAAAGTACCAATAAAGAGGGACTACTGTACACCAGTCTTCAGGGAAGCCCACCCTGGGGGAATGGGCGTGCACATCTATAACATACAGGGGTTATGAAAAACCTTTGTGCATCAAAGGACATTATCAACAGAATGAAAAGGCAACCCCTGGAATGAGAGAAAATATTTGCATGCCGTATAGCTGATAAGGATTAATATTCAGAATATATATGGAACTCCTACAACTACACAACAACAACGAAAGAAACACAGCCCAATTTAAAAATGGGCAAAGGACTTTTCCATTAAAGAAAATTACTCATTTCTCTAAAGAATATATACAGGTGGCCAGTAAGCATATAAAAAGATACTCAACATCAGTGATCGTTAGGGAAATTCAAATCAAAACCACAATGAGATACCACTTTACATATTAGGATGGTTACTATAAACAAAACAAAACAGGAAATAAGTGTTAGAACGTGGGAAAATTGGAACTCTTGTGCATTGCTGGTGGGAATGTAAAATGGTATAACCAATGTGGAAAACAGTATGGAAGGTCCTCAAAAAAATTAAAATAGTGTTATCGTATGGTTCAGCAATTCCGCTTCTGGGTATATGACCAAAAGAATTTAAAACAAGGATTCAAATAGATATTTGTATACCCGTCTCACAGCAGAATTATTCATAATAGCCAACAACCCAAGAGCCTACCAATGGATGAATGGCTATAAACAAAATATGATGTATACATACAGAGGAAAATTATTCAGCCTTAAAAAGAAAGGAAATTCGGACACAGGTGACAACATGGATAAACCTTGAGGACATTATGCTAAGGGAAATAAGCCAGTCACAAAAGGACAAATACTATGTGATTCAACTTGTATGAGGTACCTAGAGAAGCCAAATTCATAGAGACAGAAAGTAGATTGGTGCTTGCAACGGTTGGGGGGTGTGGGGAAGGGGAGTTAGTGTTTAAGGGTACGGAGTTTAAGTTTGGAATAATGAAAAGCTCTGGCAATGGCTGGAGGTGATGATTGCACAGCAAGTGAGTATACTTAATGCCACTGAACTGTGCTCTTGAAAATGGATAAAATAGTAAATTTTATGTTATGTGTATATTTTACCACAAAAATTAATTGACTAATTTGA